CACACACACACACACACACACACACACACACACACACACACACACACACACACACACACACACAGTAAATATAAAACTGTTAATAGATGAAAATTTAATGCAATGTGTTGTTGAGAAAACACACTCCAGGACATTTTAAATTGAGAAGGCCACATGGTTGGTAAATGAAATCTTTTCAGACTCAGAACACAAGTCTGGTTGATTTTATTTGTTAAACTTTTTTAATTGATCGTAACCCAGATGGCTGGGAACTTTAACCAGCATGTAGGGAAAATGCTGCAGTCAATCATGATCACCGACGAGAAGACATCAGGCTTTGTCCAGTTAAAAGACCTTAAAACTTTAAGATGAATAGATGTATGTATATATTTGAGCCTGTATGTGTCATATTGACCCTGTGCAGACTAGAGATAATCCAGAACCATTTCAAACTCATGCAATCAACTTAAATCAAATTTCCATGATTCTACTCTAGAAAAAAACAAACAAAAACAGTTTAAATAAATCATTAAAAGCTGAAATTAACATGACATTTATGCCTATGAAGACAGTACACAGACTTTTGACTACAACTGTAACAAGATGTGAAAGAACAATTAGAGGGATAAAATGTGTCGGGGTGTGTTTGTGTGTGTATTTACAATAAAATGATTTTTACAAGCTGAATGACTTAYAGTCAGACATCTGGACAAAGACATGAACACCTTATTAATCCATAAACACAAACAATAAAGCTAATTAGCTGTCAAGAATGTGTTGACACTCAAACAGATACACCTACGCACACTCGTAACACACAAACACACACACACACACACACACACATTCAGCAAGAAAATTGAAAGTCACAGTGCTATACAGGAACACACACGTCCACTAACTTGTGTTTCTTGAGCGACAGTCCCATGTGCTGCTTCATCTGTTGCAGGCCATGGTAGTCGGTATAAATGAGGTCAAAGGGCAACGGTCCAGTGAGCGGGCAGCTTCCTCTGCCTGGAGGCACGCCGAGAAACCTGCAAAACACACACAAAAAAATAACAATCAGGAAAACATGGCACAAACCACAGAGAGGACCTCAGCCCTGCAGACACATCCATTATTTACTCATTTAAAAGAAAAAAACTGTTTCTGCTTTTTTCTTTTTCTTTTTTGTTACAGAGAAGACAGAAAACAAAGAGTGCTGTTAGCAGGGAGGAGCATGAATTCACAGCTGTATTATTGGGTTTCAGTGCTTTTAAAAGACTTTGCTAATAATTAACGGAGTCTATCTGACAGCAAACCTCATGAACAACTGGTCAAATCATATCAAAACTTTCAGAAATAAAAAAAAAATCACATTTACAATCAATTAACCTTTGGAGGCAGCTAAACTCAAGAAGGCAACATTAGCCAACACAAAAAACACTAACTCACTCAGATCATTGGTTGCACATCATTAACTGATTAACTTTTGGAGTCAGTTTGATTCAAAATGGCCACCACAGCTAATTGGTATTAGTAAACACAAAAAAATTGTTATAACCAAGTCAGTTTTAAAGATACAGAGCTAAAGTTTGGTGTGGTAGTAGCTGTGGAGCATCCCCAACACACACACAGAGCACTGACAGAAAGATGTGTTTAACATTTTGGCATGCAAAATGCAAAGGAATGCTGATTTTATGGAACAAGTACTTAAAGGTTCTTCTAATATTCCGGCAAAAGATGATGAATGGTTCACGTTCTACTTTTGACTTTCAGAGTTTGTTTAAAACAGCTAATTTTCCACGCTCCATCTCTCCATCTGTCTCCCTCCTGATCAGCTCCTCTGAAGACCGATGGAGTGTTTCTGCAGGCTTTGTGCTCATCGTTGCAGATAAAACAGGTGTTGTCGGTCCTCCTCCCCGCAGCCCTGATGCTGAGCTACTGTTTGGCCTCTCATTTGTAATCCCACCGTTTTGTATCTCTGCAGGCTCAGGCGCTCTCAACTTTTCTTACCTCTTTTCTTTCAGCAGTTTTTTATTTTTTTATTTTTTATTCTGCTTGTGATTCCAGAGCTGATGTGCAGAACAAGGCAGTTTTTTAAAAAACGTCATTTATCATTTATTTTTTCAGACTGCACTTGTTTGTTTAATTAATTTTTCATTTATTGACTGAATTTTTTAACCTTTCACGTGAATTGTGATTTAACTGACACTATGGAAATATTATGAACCAGATATGATCATTCATCCCTGGCTGTTTCCTCCCTCTGGCCAATGGAAGGCGTTTTATATGACAGACCCTCTCAGACTTCAGATATTTGACCTGTGAGTGGTCTGCTTGCTCTTAGTTAGCTCTTATTTCTCTGATAGATGAGGCCAAAGGCTAATGGAAACTGTAATCCAATTTGTACCCCTGGTGAATTTCATTTGGCTATGCTAGTTCTACCCCAGAGTCTGTTCGGCTACGTTGCTCATGCAGGGCTGGACAATTTGATTGCTTTGTACGACGGCACTTAAAGCTGCATTTGTTGGCAGCAGATAGCCACAAKCAGACAGGAGAGAAAACAGATAAAAGAGCTTGATGCGGTGACAAGAATGACTAAGATATTGCTGTGAAGCAACAACTGCAGCATGTGGCTGTTACATATAGATATGACCTGAGAGCGTTCTGTCAGGTGGTGTGACAAAATGAGCTAATCTGAAGGTTGACCTGTTAGCATTTTCAAGATTTCTGAAGCACTGCTGTCAGAAAACTCTCTAAATTATCAAAGCCTTTATTTTACTTATTTGCATGGCAAGTTTTCAATTATAATAGTTTAATTCACTCTGAATAGGGAGCTTAAACAAGAATAGGTTGTGTAGAATTTTGATAAWGTGTTCAAATTGGACAGGCAGATAAACTCAGTGGTGAAATCGAGTTTTTTCCAAGACATATTGCTAAGGTGAAGCCATACCTCCCAATCAAAGACCTTGAGAAAGTGATTCATGCTCTCATTACATCTCGTTTGGATTATTGTAATTCTTTGTATGTTGGTTTAGATAAATCGTCTCTGCATCAATTACAAGTTGTCCAAAACGCAGCAGCTCGTCTTTTAACAGGACCTAAAAGATACGAACACATTTCCCCAGTTTTGGCTTCTCTCCATTGGCTTTCTGTTCAGTTTAGGATCAATTTTAAGATTTTATTACTTACTTCAAAAGGTCTAGCCCCATCTTACCTGTGTGATCTCATTAACATCCACACTTCAGTTTGAACACTTCAGTCCAACCAGTTTCTCTTAGATGTTCCTAGATCTAGACTAAAGTTTAGAGATGATCGAGCCTTTGCGGTTTCTGCCCCAAACCTTTGGAATGGTTTACCTCTTAGCATTCGGTGTGCTGAGACTGCTGAGACTTTTAAATCTCTGCTTAAAACTCATTTTTATTCCCTGGCCTTTCATTCTGGTAGAGTTTGAGATTCTTTTAAAGAAAAATGTTTTTAATGTTTTTTTTTCTCTTTTTAAAATTGATCTTATTGTTGACATTTCTGTGTTGCTTTGTTGTTTTATTCATTTGGCTGAATTGTGAAGCCCTTTGGTCAACTTTTGTTGTTTTTATGTGCGGTATAAATAAATTGACAATGACATCGAAAGATTATCAGACAATATTTTTGTCTTTCTAAAAKACTTTAGCTGCTTCTGAATGAACTGTAAGATTTCTGGACCAATGTCCTTGAACAAACAAGACCAAAGTAGAGATGTTCGACCATGTTGCACAAAGTGATGTTTGGAGAAAACCAAACAGAGTTAATGCTGTATTTTATCGATCCATGGGGAATTTTTTTAGGGTCATCTTRATGATGTTTGTTTTGTTCTTTTTACACACTGTTAGTATCTTCTCTGGCCTTCTGCTTCAAACGTGGCCCATCACTTTCCCCCAGCTCTGTTACTTAATTGAGGGTTTTTCTCGTTGCCTTGAAAATTCTCACAAACCAGCTCCAGGGCAGTCTGCGCCTAAGATGAGAAGAGAACAATAAAAATAAAAATCTGCTATCTAGATTACCAGCACCTTGTTAATCTGTGTTTTGGGTGGATGGTGATAACAGCAGGCAATCCGGTTAAGTGTCAACATTTTTATCTGACGTCCTCGAAAGGGAAGATCTTTGTAGATAAAATCTTTCTCTAAAGGGAAATATCTTCTTACTGTTTACCATATCCACTCCTATGATTAACATTGGGGGGCGGGAAGGGGAGGAGGAGGAGGGGTGTATGCATGCTAGAATGTTCTCTAAAACAAATAAAGCAAAACATGATAAATGAATCTGRATATGAGGTGAGATTCAGACTTTATTAGACCCAGAAGGCTAGTAATTTGTAGCTTTGTAGCTCATGCATTATGTTTGCATTCACTGCAAACATAAAAACACTATAACCACTAAAAATGCAGCAAATAAAGTGATATAAACAAGTTCTATTAGTCTTTTAGGTAGCAATCACTTAAGGGGACCACAGTTTCTTTTGAACAGCCTAATAGAGAAAGAAATAAAAAAAACCTGGAAAAGTGATTAGTTCTCATCATGGACACGTTAAAATGTCAGCCTGAAGGCATTACAAAGAAAGAACTCTATCACCAATGTGGTCTGGTTGGCTGATCTTTTTCGTTGCTTTCCCAGCCACTTTCTTTTACCAAATGGAAACTAAATCCTTTTGGGGAACTCCAATCAGCTTGGAACAAATGTTCTTGTCCTTCAAATGCAACTCATTAAACCAATACCTTTTTGTTTTGAAGCGTAGGAAGAAAACAACTAACAAAATATCTTAGCAGGTCTCACATTTTTGCAAATGTTCCCTCTGACTCTCGCAGCTCACCTTCTGTCACAAATCACCCCTAAGACTCGTTTCCATCCATTCCTCCTCTCTCTTTCACCTCCCCAGTGCACTGCTCACTGCTTTGCCTTTTGTTGCTTTTAGCTGATTTATTGCTTTGTTGTCATAATTCTGTATTTTATGAGAAAGGGTAAGGATGCTGATTTTATTGCAGAAAAATGAAAGAAGAGGGAAAAACAGATCTGGTAGTAAAAACAGACCTTGATATGAACGAAGCATCAACAGCCAGGTTAAATGTTCCATTTCATTTTCTCATATCCTGTGGTTTCRTCAAAATTTTCATCGTATTGATTAGAGACAATAGACACACGTATTCAGTTGCCATAACTAGGACAGCACATAATGAATATACCGACACTCGTATATACAACGGGTAAAAAT